CAGAAAATGTCAGATTGCAGCGAGTGCTTGGCGGGCGCAGACGGGTCGGCGGGTTCGGGTTTTTTTATGTCGGCGAGTCTGTCATTGTGACAACGCTGGACACCATGATTGACAATGGATTACAACGATGGAACCCTTTTTTTTTTAACAGTTTTTTTTTTAAATAAAGGACTTGTCAAAAATGTTTGTTTTATTTTTTGTTCAATAAAGGATTTTTTCAAAAGACTGGTCTCTTTATTTTTTACTCAGTTTAACCCTTTAGTGAATGGGTAGGAGTACAAGTACCCCTTACTCATTCACAAGGGAAGGGGCAGCATCAGGGTCCCCCCCAATCCATACCAGACCCTTTAGGTCTGGTAGGAAGGTTAGGAGGGACCCCACAGTATTTTTTTTTCCTAAAACATGTGTGGGGTTCCACCTCCAAAAAATGGGGTGGGGGAGTATGTGAGGTTCCCCCTATAAGCTATACCAGGCCCTTTAGGCCTGGCAGGGCTTTTAAGGGGAACCCCTCCAAAAAAATGTGGGGTCCCCCCCAAATTCCTATCAGACCCTTGGTCCTAGCACAGGCTTGGAAGGGCAGGAAAGGGGGGATGAAAGGTGTACCGTGGTGCTAATGAGCTCCCCTGCCCACAGACCCCCACAACCACTGGGCCAGGGTTATTGGGAAGAGGCACTTGTCCCCATCTGGGACACCACAGGGAGGGGGGTGCACTCGTTCATCTTTTTGGAGGGGCTCCCCTTAAAAGTCCTGTCAGGCCTAAAAGGCCTGGTAAGGCTTATAGGGGGAACCTCACATACTCCCCCCCCCCCATTTTTGGGAGGTGGAGTTCCCCTTAAAGGGCCTGGTATGGCCTTTAGGGGGAACCCCACACCCTTTTTAGGAAAATCTAATTACTGTGGGGTCCCACCTAACCTTCCTAACAGACCTAAAGGGGTTTATTTACTAAAGCTGGAGAGTCCAAAATCAGACTCACTTCTGCATATCAGCTTCCAGGTTTCATTGCCAAAGCTTCATTGAACAAGCTGAGGTTAGAGCTGATTGGTTTCTATGCAGAAGGGAGTCTGATTTTGGACTCTCCAGCTTTAGTAAATAAACCCAAAGTGTCTGGTAAGGATTGGGGGGGGGGGGGGTCCCCACACTGTTTTGTTTTTCATAAAAATGTTATTTAAAAAATGTCAGTCCTGCTGCAGGTTCTATACATTGTGCAGATGTGCAACTTTGCAGGTAGTTTAACCACTTGCCTACCGAGCACTTATACCCTCTTCCTGCCCAGGCCAATTTTCAGCTTTCAGTGCTGTCGCACTTTGAATGACAACTGCCCTATCATGCAACACTGTACCCATATTAAATTTTTATCATTTTTCTCACACAAATAGAGCTTTCTTTTGGTGGTATTTAATCGCCACTGGGTGTTTTATTTTTTGTGCTATAAACAAAAAAATAGCAAAAAACTTGAAAAAAAAAGTTTTTCTTTGTTTCTATTATAAAATTTAGCAAACAGGCAATTTTCTCCTTCACTGATGTGCATTGATGAGGCTGCACTGATAGGCAGCACTGATGGGCACTGATGAGGTGGTATGGATAGGCAGCACTGATGGGCACCTTATAGGAGGCACTGATAGGCAAACACTGATGAGGTGGCACTGATGACGCTGCACTGATAGGTGGCACTGATGACACTGCACTGATAGGTGGCACTGATAGGCAGCACTCATGGGTGGCACTGACTGACAGCACTGCTGGGCACTTACTGGCAGCAATGCAGTGCCCTGATGATCAGTGCCGATCTCTTCTCTGACAATTGCCGGTTATCGGCAGTACTTTCCTCACACTGTGACAGCATGAGGAAAGTGCAACTGTATTTACCCGATGATCTGCTGTATCATTGGATACAGCTGATCACATGGTAAAAGGCCACTGTGATTGGCTTTTTACCACATCAGGTGGTCAGCTGTGTCCGTAGGACACAGCGATCACCGGCGGCATCGGGTGTGCGACCACTGCTGGGGGTGCGCAGGGTGCGTGTTCTGGGAGGAAACCCATGGATGTCCCCCAGAACTAGACAACCGCACTGTAGCCATCCTTCAGCTATTGCACGGTTGGGAAGAGGATAAGAGGCATGATATTTAAAGGAATTTTTCTTTCTTCCTTTTTTTATAAAGCAATTAAAAATGTTTGCCCCTTTAACACCTTCCCGCCTGGCCGTCAATCTGCTATCTGTCATATGACGTCCTGTCAAAACGAGCCGTGGGGTCGCACGGCGGTGCAATCTGTCACCGTCTGTGTCCACGGGACACAGCCGATTTACATATCACTACACTGGCCCACTGCCAGTGTCATGTGACCGATGTGACCAATCACAGCAGATCACATGTCAATTGTATACAATGGATGGCTTCTAGTCATGCCATCCATTCTATACAATTATGTTGTTAGCTGTGACTGGTCAAGGCAGTCACATGATACAGACAGGGCCAATCACAGCCCATCTGCATCATTTCCCAGTCACAGCTAATCACAACAAAAGATTGAATTAATCAGTTTCATTCAGTAACAATGATTGCAAATATCAATGAAATACATTGGTATTAGCAATCATAATGTGTTTAAAAAAAATCCTGATCACTTTACCCAGAGTTTTTCAATGTTACTATGGTAACATTGTATTGCTTTGGTCACAGCGTGCTGAAAAATGAAATAGTAAAAAAAAAAAAAAAAATTTAACAAAAAATAAAAAATAAAATAGAAACATTTGAAAAAAAAATACAAATTCAATTATTATTTTCACCAAAGAAATGTAGCAGAATACATTTTGACCTAAATTTATGAAGAAATGTTATTTATTTGCAACATTTTTCAAACAGAAACAAAGAAAAGTGCGTTTTTTTTAAAAAAAGTTTCAGGTGTTTTTTGTTTTATTTAGAAAAAAATAAAAACATTCAATGGTGATTAAATACCACCAAAGAAAGTTCTATTTGTGTGAAAACAATTATAAAAATTTAATATGGGTACAGTGTTGCATGACCAAGCAATTGTCTTTCAAAGTGCAACAGCACTGAAAGCTTAAAATTGGCCTGGGCAGGAAGGCGGTATAATTGCCCGGTACTGAAGTGGTTAAAAATGGTAGGGCAGTACCCAAGTCCCCATACCTCTTTTATGGCCAATAACTTACATATAAGCCTTCAAAATGGGCACTTTTGAATGTACAAGGTTGAGTCCCATAGACTTGCATTAGGTTAACCTTTAGCAGAGATGTGCGAAATTAGCAGTTTTTTCTTTACAAAAAATTCTGCATTGGAGTCAATGTCAAAAGCAAGCAAAATTAAGATTTTTTTGTGGCTTTTTAAGGGTGCAGTGGACTTTAATGGTTCCTGAGGGCTGGGATAGCTTAAACTGTCCTTGATTTTTCTGCTTTAAGAAATTCAGTTCTCTCCTTCTAGGTTCACATTGTACTTTAAAATTAGTGTAGTGGCAACTATTAACAAATTGATCACTATGTCAGCACTAACATAGTGAACACATGACTTTGGTAATTGGGATTGGGTCTGGTGTGGCTGTGTATAAACAAACCCATTTCACATAACCATGGGAGATTTCCTAAATAGATTTCTCTGAAAGTAACATCAAATTTTGAGTTGTGACAAAGAAGAGGTAAAGGGAACTTTCCCAAAGGGTGAACCTGTCCCATTGATAAAAGTCTAAGAGGAGACAATTGTCTCTGGGACATGAAGTAAAGGTAAATCTTCTTGACAGACAGAAAACAATTGGACAGGTGTCTTCACCTTTCTCTACATTATCCAAAACTTAAAAAAGGTTTTGGCTTTATGATTACTGTAATATCTTAATCCTTTACATTCTCATCCCAGCAGTAGCTAAAGCTTTTGTTTTGGAAAGCGTCAGCAGTACTTGTTTTAGGTAGTGTGTGGAAGAATTAGAAATTCTATACATATCTTTTTTTGCTCTCTGTGTCCCTTTTGGAGTGATTTCCTTCATCTTCTGTGTGGTCACTGGCCTGGAAAGAATCAGCAAATAAAATATGATTGATGCTTTACACCTTTAATACTCTTTTTAAAACTATTCAAAGTTTTGGCTATAGTTGGACTTAAAAAGTGTGTCAGCCACATCAATTTCTTTTACATTCTAACCTTCCAGTGTGTGGAATGCTTTAGCAGTACTTAAACTTTATGCTTCCAAAATACACTAACAAGTTACTCAAATATGTAAATATTTTGCTTTCTGCTTTTGAGCCAGCAGGTAGAGCTGTAGGCTTCCTTTACAGATTTAACCACTTGCCGGCCACACACTGTAGTTTTACTGCTACAATGTGGGCCGGTTGCGCAGAAGCACACATATAAAAAAAAAAAAATATATATATATATATATATATATATATACACATATACACTATATTTCCAAAAGTATTGGGACGCCTGCCTTTACACGCACATGAACTTTGATGGAATTTCAGTCTTAGTCAGTGGTATTCAATATTGAGTTGGCCCACCCTTTGCAGCTATAACAGCTTCAACTCTTCTGGGAAGGCTGTCCACAAGGCTTAGGAGTGTGTCTATGGGAATGTTTGACCATTCTTCCAGAAACACATTTGTGAGGTTAGGACTGATGTCAGACAGTCATGTCAGAACAGGATGGGGCCATCCCCAAACTGTTCCCACAAAGTTGAGAGCATGAAATTGTACAAAATGTCTTGGCATGCTGATGCCTTAAGAGTTCCCTTCACTGTAACTAAGGGGCCAAGCCCAATAGCTGAAAAACAACCCAACACCATAATCCCTCCTCCACTAAACTTTACATTTGGCACAATGCAGTCAGGCATGTACCATTCTGGCAACCACCAAACCCAGGCATGTCCATCGGATTGCCAGACAGAGAAGCGTGATTCGTCACTCCAGAGAACACATCTCCACATGTTTACACCACTGCATCTGACACTTTGCATTGCATTGCACTTGGTGATGTAAGGCTTGGATGCAGCTGCTCGGCCATGGAGATCCATTCTATGAAGCTCTCTATGCACTGTCGTTGTGCTAATCTGAGGGCAACATGAAGTTTGGAGGTCTTTAGCTATTGATTCTGCAGACAGTTGGGGACTTCCATGCACTATGCGCTTCAGCATGCGCTGACCCCGCTCTGACAATTTTACATAGCTTACCACTTTGTGGCTGAGTTACTGTTGTTCCCAGTTGCTTCCACTTTTTTATAATACCACTAACAGTTGACCATGGAATATTTAGTAGCAAGGAAATTTCACGGATGGACTTATTGCACAGGTGGCAACCTATCACGGTACCACGCTTGAATTCACTGAACTCCTGAGAGCAACCCATTCTTTTACAAATGTCTGTAGAAGCAGTCTGCAAGCCTAGGTGCTTGATTTTATACACCTGTGGCCATGGAGGTGATTGGAACACCTGAATCCAGTGATTTGGAGGGGTGTCCCAATACTTTTGGCAAGTGTAAGTTCAATAAAAAATATACTAAATCACGCTATGGTCCCACATAAGCAGCTAACACAATATTGCAAGTTACAATACATAAACATCTACACATAGGAGGTGCATCGCTAAAACAAATTCTTAAATAGATTTTTCCATATAAAAAAAAAGTCCAATCCAGAGCTTTTATATATAAGAGATCAAAAGTTCATCATCCATGACCCGACAGATATCCAATAGGCACCCAGAAAACCACAAAAGGGAGAAATACTTCACCAACCCAACACCAATCACACTGTCCCTTACCAGATGGTATTGACCCCCAAAGGAAAAGTCAGTATGTGCTGTGTGCTTCCTGGAAGTGACCAGTAGACTGAATATATTCCTTAAGGATCCTGGTCTTCAATATAAAGCTTATAGATACACCTGAATAAATGTTATCCTTGGACTATCAGGTTAACATAGACAGCAAGCAAGCTGCCTTTCTTAACCATACATGTGAACTGTCCCTCAGTCTGCAAAGTCAGTTTGTCTATGGCCAATGTACTGTCTATCAGACTGACACTTCCCAGCTGTGCAGCATCCCCACTGATCAAATCTCCCCAAGCAATGAGGACAGAACGATTAGTTCCCAGCGCAATAAATGACCAGAGGACAGTGACAGTAGAATTAATTTCTCCACATCCGAGTTCCACAGACTGGTCCAGTACTCCATAGAGTGTCTGTAGGGTTGTCTGAGTATCCAATTTCTGACCTCCATCGGTTCTCTGTAGTCTTCTCAGGGTATGGCACAATCTGCTCAGGTATATTTCAAAAGAATGTACATGCTGTTATTTATATGACAGACAGTCAAGAAGCCAGGAATAAGCAGCTCCTTAACAGTGCCAACAGCAGCTGAGGAGGACCTCTGAGGGCCACACGCTTTCCCGTCAGTGTGCTGTGCAGCGTCAGTCTGATAATCAGTACCCTGGTTGTAGACAAGCTGACTCTGCAGGCTGAGGGGCAGCTTGCTTGCAGTCTATATTGACCTGATAGTCCTAGGATAACATTTATTCAGGTGTATCTGTAAACTTTATATTGAAGACAAGGATCCTTAAGGAATATATTCAGTCCAGTGGTTGCTTCCAGGAAGCACACAGCGCATATTGACCTTTTCTTTAAAGGTCAATACCATCTGGTGGTTTTGCATTTCTGGGTTGGGGGTGCACACCCTGATGTGCTGTCACTGGCTCCAGCACAAGCAGATCAGCAGGTCCTGGCCATTGGTTTATGACCAGAACCCGCCGATCAGCGGAGTGGGTGTCAGGAGAGAGCTCTGTGTATGTAAACAACACAGACCTCTTCACTGACAGTGGCGATGTGCCGGTGTTTGTTTTCCTGCAAAGCAGGGAATAAACACTGACATATTCCTTAGTAAAAGCACCACACAGTAAACACTTTACACATTACTAGGCACACAGTTAACCATTTTATTGCCCCAGATGTTAACCCCTTCCCAGGCAGTGTCATTAGTGCAGTGTCAGTGTATACTATTAGCACTGATCACTGTATTAGTGTCACTGGTGATGTCAGTGTAAGTTAGTGTCAGATTGCCTGCCATACTATCACAGTATTGCCATAAGTCGCTGATCACTGCCATTGCAAGAATATTAAAGGAAAAATACAAATTCCAGTATATATACTATAGTTTGTCTATAACTTTCACACAAACCAATTAATATACACTAATTGGAATTTCTTTTTACCAAAAATATGTAGCAGATCACATTTTGATCTACATTTTTGAAGAAATTTAGATTTTAACATTTTTAAATTAGATACAGTGTGTTTTATAGCAGAAAGTAAAATATATATATATATTTTCGGTTATATAATAAGACCCAATGGGGACCAAACACCACAAAAAAAAGCTCTATTTGTGGGGGAAAATTATATACATTTTGTTTAAGTACAGTTTTGCATGACCTCTCAATTAGCAGGTAAAGTAGCACAGTACCGAATAGCAAAAAAATGCCATGGTGAAATCTTCCGGAGGTCAAGTGGTTAGAGGCTGCCAGTTTGTTTCTTTGTGATAAGCCAATTGTTTAAACAGCCTCATAAATCATCCTTTTTCCAACTGTTCAGTTCACAGTTTCAGTCAGACAAATTGTACCTCAAAGCAAGCAGATCTGCTGTCCTTTTTAGCTAACCCTTAGTGCTTTTAGAATAATTTGTACTGTAATAGCAAGAAGAAACGCAGATAAATAATGTCAAGCCAAAATCATTATTGCTTTCCCTTAAACTTTTTAAACTTTCGTAACAGTTCAAACACACACACATTTTTAGTATATATATATGTTTTATGCACATATCTTTGGGGGCAGATGGATAAACCAAGGTAGGGTGAGTAGTAAATCCCATAAATACTTAATGATGAAATAGAATCCATAAATTGCCTTAGGGGAATTTTGCTTTCTTGCTGCATGTTGCTATCGTTTATCATCTTTGTCTCTAGACATAGACACTAAATCTTGTTTGTAATGAAAGATGCAGATATATTTATTAAACAAGTTCCACTCAGTATATTAGACCATTTTGCAAATGTTTTTGTAAATTTAAATATGGAAAACCTCTGTCTCTGTCTGGAAAACTTGTATTAAACCTAATATGTTTATAATGGATTCTATCCATGGGTCATAGACAGTTGAATGCAATTACAATTCTGTACTTTCTCTATGCGTCAGTTCCAGATAATTTTACTTTTTTATACTGCATATTGCTAGCAGCTTTCGTTGTTCAGCACAGGTTTTTATTTTTATGTTTTGGCTGATTTAGCTTGCCGTTTAATTTCAGACTTGATTTCAAGACCATACATTTGCCAGTGGTAGTATGTCATTCATAAAATATCTGTCCTCTATTTCCTAGGGATCACTAACTCTAAGCTACACCTCCCAACAACATATCATAAAAAGTTGTGACATTTAAAGTTAATCTGGCTTAATAAAATGATGTAAGCCACCACAGTTGACTTTTGACTTGTTGAAGGAACAAGCTGCTGAAAGATTATTATCCTTGCTTTCTCCTTCCTATTCTCAAGCCTGGAGCAAATATGCACCTCCTAGGGTTGGAGCCCCTGACCTTCTAATCTATTCTGTACCAGTGACTCATTAATTAGTAAATCAAGGATGATAATTATAGCTCTGCATCTCCTAAAACAATTTTTCGGTGGCAGGTCTTACAGTTCTGTATTTACAGGATACTACTGGCCTCAACCGTTTCATCCAAATTTTGCCCACTACATAACCATATCTGGGCAACAGCGTGCACATTGTACTCTATGTCTTTGGGACTGTCCTGCCCCTCACAACTGCCATGGGTTACCAATGTTCTGTAGCCTTATGCCCATCCATCCTACTCACAAGTCAACCATATATACTGCGATATATAGAATCTGCTGACTTTGCAGTACAGAGAGATAAGTAACATTTTACTCTGCATAGGGCTTATACACATAGACATTTGTTACATGCATTTATACACATAGTACATTTGTATGGAGCCTTATATGCTGATTGTTAATGCCTATATTTGCTGCATGTCTCCACTTTTTAATGCCGCTGGCTGCCTTTAACTTTAAAGGCATTTAAATGTGGCATGTATAATTGCTACAAAAGACAAAGATATATAGCAAAGGTTTCCCGAAATTTTAAGAACAGAATATTTTGGAAATTGAAGATAGTGGAATTTTAAATATTGGTTAAAGTAGTAGGTGGGTGGTTCGTGCTGTCCTAAATGACATAGGACAGTGGAGGTCTGCAAAAGTAATACATGTCAAATATCTAATCTTCTATTCAGGCATGGATATGTAAATGCTACTAGCAAATCTTTTACATAATATGAATACAAAACAATTCAGCATCAGAGTCAACGGGAAAGGCAAAATTACGTTTTTTTTGTGGGAGGAGGAAAAACCTTGCTGTGCCACAATGCAATAATAGTAAAGCCATAATAAAAATTATTTTTCGAAGACAAGATTTTTGTGATCAATTTTACAATGTCCTGGTAGATTAAGTATGTCTGGTAAGAATAATTTGATAAAAAAAAAGTTTGTGTAGGATTTTTTTTTATATGAAAACATATCTATTTAGATTTGTAAGACTTCCAAATAGCAGAAATATTTAATTGTCAGGTCTTGTGACTTCATTTATAGCTCCCTGGACTAGTTGATACTGTCTTCTACTTTAAGTCAGGTTAATAATGCAAGAAATAACTACATAGGTAGATTCTAGTTCCTTTGGTACACACATACATCCTTTAGGTCTTGTGCCCTTAATGATTTTGCTACTGTTACCTGAAATTGATGTAGATAAAGTGATACCTTTTCATATTAGATACATGTTCCATTTTTCATTGCTACATCCAATTAATTTACTAAAGGCAATAGACTGTTCACTTTGCAAGGAAAGTTGCACTTTGCAAGGGTATTTTACCCAGAGCTTAGTGAATAAGGTGAAGCTCTTCTGACTTCCATCATCCTATAATGTGCAAAAAAAAAATGTTTTTTTTTTCCTTGCAAGTGACTGAGTATTCTTTATTATATGTCATAAAAATTTACTTTGCAAACACTGGGGAAAATACCTTTGCAAAGTGCAACTTTCCTTGCAAAGTGAACAGTCTATTGTCTTTAGTAAATCATTGGATGTAGCAATGAAAAATGGAACATGCATCCAATATGAAAAGTGAACCAACCCTATGGAATTAGAGTGATCACACTTCTTGAAAAATTGAGGAAATTTAACCCTTTTAGGAGTAGAAGTCAGTGAAGCGTAGATGCCCAGACTAAATGTAGTAGCATCAGTATGCATTGGTTAACTTGGCAATAACGTTATGACTAACTTGCCTACCTAAATAATCAATACTTTGTGTTTTAAGATATATAATGTTT